TGTTTTTTTAAATCGGACCATATCCCTTAATACAGGGGGGATTCAAAACATAAAAATGCATATAGAAAGTAGAACTTTTTCAACGTAACTTTTGATAGTGTTCCGGAAGGTCTGACACTTTTATATATATCTTAAATTAAAGCTAATGTAATATACTTTATAATGGTAAAAAAAAATTTCGGACTTTATTTTATCTTCATGGTGAAAACAGACATTAAACTTAATAAAAAAAATACGATTTTTGTAAAAAAATTCTTTTTTATATTTTTAACTTTATAATGCTATAACTTTTTGAAAGATGTATGGATCAATATAATTTTTTTTACATAGAAGTATAATGTCTTTACTTATCATTTGGTATATATTTTTTTTATATTTGACCCTTTACCTGCCCACAGGGGGGGATTTAAAATGACAACTTTTTCACAAAAAATTAACTTTTTTAACTTAACTTTTGAAAATGTTCCGGAAGGCCTGACACTTTTATATATATCTTAAATTATAGCTAATGTACTGTTCTTTATTATGCAAAACAAAATTTTCGGTCTTTATTTTATCTTCACGGTGAAAATGGCTACCGAATGCTATTTTTGTGTGAACATTTTCGATTTTGTATTTTACATTTTTAACTTTATTATGCTATAACTTTTTGAAAAATGTATGAATCATTACAATTTTTTTATGAGAAGTAGTATTTATNTAGTAAGAGTGGGGTTCAAATCTAAAAAATTCATGTACAAAGTAGAACTTTTTCAACTTAAATTTTGAAAGTGTTCCGGAAAGTCTGACACTTTTATATATATATTAAATTAAAGCTAATGTAATATACTTTATTATGGAAAAAAAAAATTTCGGACTTTATTTTATCTTCATGGTGAAAACAGACATTAAACTTAATAAAAAAAATACGATTTTTGTAAAAAAATTCTTTTTTATATTTTTAACTTTATAATGCTATAACTTCTCGAAAGATGTATGGATCAATATAATTCTTTTTTTTGTAGATGCATGATGTCTTTACCTATCATTTGGTATATTTTTTTTATAAATCTGACTTTTTACCTGCCTACAGGGGGGGATTCAAAATGACAACTTTTTCACAAAAAATTAACTTTTTCAACTTAAATTTTGAAAGTGTTCCGGAAAGTCTGACACTTTTATATATATCTTAAATTAAAGCTAATGTAATTTACTTTATTATGCGAAAAAAAAATTTCCGACTTTATTTTATCTTCACGGTGAAAATGGCTACCAAATGCTATTATTGTGTGAAAATTCTCGATTTTATTTTTTACATTTTTAACTTTATAATGCTATGACATATTGAAAAGTGTATGGATCAACATTATTTTTTTATGAGAAATAATATTTTTTAATAATCCCTTTTTCATTCGACATACTTTATCTTAATTAGGATATTAATAATGAACTAGCAGATAATGTAGCTTTTGGAATAGTCCACCAATTTTTTAAAATTAAACACTATCTAAAGATTTACATCGAAGCATTTTTTTTTTATAGTAATTTTAATCACTGTCTGATATCATTATACTTGATCCAACTATGCCACGTCACCACTGTGCCGCGACCCCACTGTGCTGGGTTTTTTTTTTTATTAATTTACTCTATGCCTGTGTGTCAATATTCATTTTTATATATTTCAGTTTTATTTTCTAAATAAATATGAAGAAAATATAAGGAGTATTAATATGTTTTTTATAATTATTAATATTATTTAATAAAAATATAGTGGACGAATCTAAGTAGTTGGAATAAAATCGAGGAAAAAGAAGATATAATAAAAGTATAAAAAATGTATATATATGTATACATGTATTTTCTTTATGTAAAACAAATTCTAATAAGTGTTAATGATTAATATCATAATATTAAAAAATTAAAGAAAATCTTATTACTAATAATTAAATATTTGTAACTGTAATTTTTTACATTCTCTCAATCTATATCTCTCTGTACAAATGTATATTATCCTAGTTTTAACATTGATATCATATATAATGATATGAATGACCCACCAAATCATCCAACATCAATAACACAGCCACACAAAAAAAAATATTTTTCTGGTCTGGAGGTCAAACCATGTTTACTATATGTTTTTGGGGTCACTGAATCCAAAAGTTAAAAAAACCCAGCACGTCAGGATTCTGACATAACCTCAAAAAATCTCATACAAAAGTTTATTCGAGTCCGGGGGTCAGACCATGTTTTTTATATGTTTAGTATTTTGAATGTTATGTCAACAACCTGACATGCTACTGTTTTTCGGACCTCGAATTTGGATTCAGCGACCAAAAAACATAGAGTTAACATGGTCTGACCTTCAGACCCGAAAAAATATTTGTTGTGTGTGGCTGTGTAATCAATCAATACAAACCTTCCAAGACAAATACCTCCGCCAAATAACAAAAGCCTCATTTTACGTCTCGTGATACCCTTCATAATAATCTCTACGTGCCAACAGTCATAAAAACTCACAGAACCCCCTGAGCTCTGATTTATCCGTCCACTCTTTCTTTGGTGACCCTAGAAGACGTTCAAAGCGAACATGGTGTTGCGACCTATTGGTTGACTTATACACGATTTCAGATGTCATAAAATACCATCACAAGAGGACGGAAACCTGTAAAGCTTAACGAACCTCCATTTTTGCACACCGAAGAACAACGCGTTGCCGATCGATCAATATAAATCGCCAAGTCAATATTATAGACTATACTTTATTAAATAACAAAGTTTTATAGCACAATTCATAATAAAACAAATTTTTAAGAACAAAATATATGAAGCACATATTTTATTGTTTTTTTTTTTACATACTTGCATTATATTTAACTCTTTTAAAGTGCATATAATTCTGTGTTCTAATTATAATTAATTAAATAATATACAGAATGATAAAAACTTTAACATTATTTTTCTTTATTGGGGTGAACCCTTACTTTTAGTTTGTTGATAGAAAAAAAATTCAAACAATTTTGTTCTAATAATATTTAGGCCTTAAATATTATTTATAAATTAATATAATATAATATAAAATAATAATTAATTTATAATAAGGCCAAGTGTAAAAATTTAATTCAATTAAGTCAATATTGAATAATCTGTGTGTGTTTAACATTCTGGCTATTTTTAACATTGAAATAGCTATAAAAATGGGAAGGTCATAAAAGAAAAATATAGTTTAAAAAAACTAAAAAAACACGCTTTTAAAGCACATCATGAACTAAAAAGTTAAAAATAATTTTTAAAATAAACTTAAAACTTAAATAATGAACGAAAAATACTAGTATTATTGTGATAAAAGCGTGGGTGCTTTGTGTCATATTTTTCGTATATTGAGCGTCCGACGCTTTTATCACAATAAATACTAGTATTTTTCGTTCATTATTGTTTTAAGTTTATTTTAAAAATTATTTTTAATATTTTATTTATTATTATATTTATTTTTCACTTTTAAGTTTCATGTTATTATTGTAGTTACTATCAATATTATGGTTGTAACGGGTAACNGCGGGGGATCGTTGTACGCGAGACATATGCGGCGGCTGTAGGAATATATATATATACACATACATATATATAGTAAGACGACATAAGTACGTAAACGTATCATCGTAAATAAGGTATAGCCTTGTTTTGTGGGCGGAGGGGACGTTATACCCAAGGTATAAACGGCTGCAGCGACGGTAAGAATACATAAATATATATACGTAAGGCGTATTACACGCAGGCGGTATTGGTCAGTCAAAATAAAAATTTGTTTATATATATATATATAAATGATGTCACGCACGTGTGTATGGGTACGAAAACAAAAAATAAAATTTTACAGGAAAATATTGTTATTGTCGAGAGGTGAGCGGGGTGGGGTGAATGCGTTACGACAGTCTAGTCTCAAGGCCATTAGACGACGGAATATGCGATAACGCGTAGCGCTTGGAGAGTTACAAACATACATACATATACAAGGTGATTTTTTTATCATAACCCACTCAATTACTTGCAGAATAATAATAATTTAAACATTTTTTTTTTTTAATATCTTTATTTACACATTATTCTTGAATTTTTAACTATGTAATACTTTTTAAGTTCATCCCTTATGCCTTGGAGGGGGGTCAACTTTGTTTTTTTAAATGGTAACTCATATTTTTAATTTAATAAAATGTTTGAGTTTTTAATTTAATAGTAAATGGCATTTGAATTTTTAATATAACTTAATTCGTTTATTAGATATAATCATTTAAAGTTTCAAATTTTTGAGTTAATATATAGGTATAATACACAAGGGATTACAAATACAGGTAGCTAATTGATTTTTTATGACATCGATATTAGCAGGTATACAGCATTCTTATTATCAATGATAGTAAGGCACATTGTTATGAGTTTATAAATACACTAACTGACAATACAGAAAGTATATCTATTGATAATCATAATTGATAATAAACAATCCGTGACTGAGACAGCAATGTCATAAAAATCCAATTAGCTACCTGTATTTACAATCCCATGTGTATTATACATGTATATTAACTCAAAATTTTGAAACTTTAAATGTTTATATCTAATAAGCTAATAAAGTTATATTAAAAATTCAAATGCCATTTACTATTAAATTAAAAACTCAAACATTTTATTAAATTAAAAATATGTGTTACCATTTAAAAAAACAAGGTTGACCCCCCTCCAAGGCATAAGGGATGAACTTAAAAAGTATTACATAGTTAAAAATTCAAGAATAATGTGTAACTAAAGATAATAAAAAAAAAAAATGTTTAAATTATTATTCTGCAAGTAATTGAGTGGGTTATGATAAAAAAATCACTCTGTATACAAGTGAAACTAATATAAGCGTGTTAAAAAGCGGTAACCGATTGGTAACCGCTGCTTTTATCTGATAAAAAATTACTGTACAAGTATGGTTATCTTCATAGTCGTAAAAACTTTTATACTTTTATACTATTATAATATTTTACTAATTATGCTATATTATTCTCAATTTAATACTTTGAAATACATTGTTATTTTGTATAGATTGTATATTAAGTTTATGGTTAAATAAATCTAATTTTCTTTTATAGAATTGAGATTATTTATAGTATCGAAATTTTGTTGTATTTTCAATTACAAACCAAATAAAATATGGAAGTTGAGAAATATGAAGTACTTTTAGAAAGCTTTATTTCAAATATTAAAAGGAAGTAAGTAAAACATTTTATAGTGTCTATTTAAATGAGTTTTTTAATTTCTGAATCAGATATAATTATGTTATTTTTAGTAATAATAAAAAGATTTAAATGTTCAAATATTAGATATGTTGTAATTAATGACCACAGATATCTCTACTAAATGAAATATATTTATTCAATTTATGGCCAAATACCTCAAGGATAATTGTTTTTATCTTGTATTACAATTGAGTCTTACATACAGTAATAGACTGAAATCCGAAGGTTTATATGGAAAATTTTTTAGGAGATCCATTTATAAAATTTAATAGTATTTTTTTATTATATTGCTTTTTTTTGTCCTGTTAAGTAAAAACAAGCATTTAAATTTTTGCACATTTTTAGTATATTCATTTTCTTTAATTAAAAAAAATGAATTCTTGTGTATATTTAAAAATGACAAAATATGCAATTCAAAAATCCACAATAATTACTAAAAATTGATGGATATATATTTCCTGTGTCTATGTTTATAACAACTTTTTTTTTTCTTTTATGATAAAAATTTGTCTTTTGGAATACCTTTGTCTTAATTAGGTTCAGCTTTATGGTTTTTTGGTTCATAGCTTGTGTACCATTTTTAAGTTGTATTATTTTTTATGAATGTTTTGATGTTGTTAAATAGTGTAAATCTAAGTAACGGTTCATTTGGATCGTTATTTGCAATTTTAGCATATTTATCGTTGTCTTTGTTGCTTTTTATACCTATATGGTTGCGTATCCATAGAATTATGACAAATTTGTTTTTATTGGCGGCTTCTTAAAGTTTGTTGTTAAAGAGGGTTTAGATGTCACTTTGGTGGTATTTATTTTTTTTATTGTTGACGAAATTCAGTCACTTGCTTAGAATGATATTTGTGGGAGGATTTTTCATAAATTATTAGTTGAATAGCTATTGCTCCTGTCTACTATATTGAGCATTTATTTAACAATTTGTACATTATTTGTTTTGTTTCTAATATAATGTAGATGTCCATTCTTTCTTTAATTTTTGATGTGTCATTATATATTTTTTAATAATTTTATATACTTCAAGGATTGAATCCAAGAGTCTTTTAAATGTTTTGGATGATGCTTGATATTTTATTTTATAATTTTTATAGTTTTGGAGTATATTAAAAACATATTTTTTATTATTTATCTTTAAAAAGAAAAAATACTATTTTTATTTTTTTAGTTTCAAAAAAACTATTTTAGTTTTATTTTCATGATTTTTTGATGGTTTAATAACAATTTTAGGATAAGTATATATTGATTTATAATCATTTTATTAATAGTGGGTAAGTAGTGTGGGTACTTGTGCATAATAGCTCACACTGGTGTATATATTTAATAAATACTCTACCTGCAAAGCATACCCACTATATAGATAAACATGCTTGCAGTTAGATAAGTATAACATAGTGAGATGTCCTGTAATTATTCGAATATCCATTATAATAACCATTTATAATTTATTATCATTTTTAGAAAATTGAATGACAACTGTAAAATTGCTGAAGAAACAATAAAACTCTTAAGACATTTTATTGAAACAACAAATTGGTCTACTGCAAAGTAAAATTATCTTTTAATAAATCAGTTATTATAATAAAAATGAGACATTTTGATTAAAATTTCTCTAAATAAGACTTATATTTGATTGATACAAAAACTCAATATTATATATTATCACAATAACAGTAAATATCATAACAATACAATTAAAAAATTTTTAATTAAAATTAAATGTACTATAAAAAAGTTGTAATTTTATTTGTGTTATAAAATAATTCAAAAAGTAGTTTCATAAAGTTTTTTGTCAGTGTGTTCAATTTGTTAATGCTTAAGAAAAATTACTATATCTAAAATAAATTCCCATTCAAAACCCCTTTTTTTTTCTTTCATGGTCGACATAATGTTGATCGCCTTTGAACTTCAATAAGGCATTACTTCAGGGCAATTCATTCAGAACCCTAACAAGAATGAAAAAAAAAAATACAAATTTCATTGAAAACTACTCGTGAATAAAATATTATTTTGACAAGATGTTCATATTGCAAATTTGAACCTCATTAGGCATTTCTATTTCATTTCCTTGAAATGTAATAGTCATTTTATCAAATAATTAACTTTATCCCAAAGGCAAAACTCATTTATTATTTATAAACCAATATGTTAAAAGTTATAAATAAATACATATTTAAGGGGAAAAAATAATACCTTTAAATTTATGTTTAAAGGTAGTATACAAATATTCTTAAATTGTAAAAATTTAAATTTAACTTTACTAAAAATTTTGTTTAAGCCCTGCTTATGAATATAATTTTTATTTTTTCAATTATGTAATATTTATATACTTATATAATGATTTTAAAGGGATTAATTTGTGTTTATACTGTTAATTACTAGGGAATTGTTGATTCATTTGAGGAAATATGGACACATTTTAACATCAGCCTTGCCTATACAATTTGTTGTTGGAAATATAGTTAGAAGAATATTAAATATTGTAAGAGAAGAATATATTGCTGCTCGAAAAGTAATTTTATCTAAGAATAAATAATTTTTAATATTTAAGCATAAATTCTTCTAAGTTTCTAAAAATGTATCTTCTGTCTAGTTGCCTGTAAAATAGTCTAATTTTTAATGTCTATTTTCAAAAATATTTATTGGTTTTTAAGTTTGATTTAGAATAAACTAATAATTTAACATATTATATTTATTTGAAAAAATATAATAATTAAAAATGAAATAATCTATTGACAATTACAAACTGTATATGATTATGACTTTATCATAAATCACTTATTACACGCAAAATAAAAACCAAACCTTGTAATAATTTAAGAAAATATTGAATTATTCATCTACCTCTGGATATAGTTTAATTTTTAATAAATTCTTCTTAGATAAACATCTAATTAATTATTTTCTTTTTAAGTATAATTATTAAAAAATTTTTACTTATTTATTTATTATTTGATTTATAATTTTTTTATGGAATGTCCATCTCTTCGATAACCTGCTAGTATTTGTAAAATTAAAAATATGTTTAACGAATATTCACAGCATAATGCCTGATAATTATTGTCTAATTTTTTGAATTCTAGCTCTCAAAACTATTGATTGTTCTTTAGAATTTATTAATGGCATATGTATAAACATTTCAAGAGTTAAGTAGAAATATTGGCTGTACAACACCTTTTCTGCCTTCTTTAGTCTGCCTCACATATATGTTACTACTATATAGGATGAGTCTTCCTATAAATAAAGACCGTGTTTTTAACTCATGTTAAAAAAAAAAAAAGAAATTTTATCTATCAAATTTTAAAGTTCAGTTACTTATTCAAACTTAAATAATTTTCATGAAAAAAATTAAATATTTATAACTATTTTTTTTTTTAACGTGAAAAACTTTCTTATGTCCTTTTTTCAATTCATATTGTAATGTTTGATATTATAAAATTAAACACATTAATTCAAATTTTCATAAACTTTAAAATTCTATATTGTAATGTCATCAGAATTCTTGCATTATCTCTAAACGTCGTATCTTCAACACTATTATACGTTTAATTAAACTAAGATTTAATACTAGTTCTTTCCATATCCTTTAACAAAATTTAAAAAAAAAGACATCCTTTAACCATTAAATTTGAGAATTCTTGCCTTGCAGCATTCATAGTAACTTTTTCATTCATTACTACTTCTAGTTGAAAAACATTACTAGTAGTTCTTTGGTTACACAATGCTATAATATAGATTAATAACAGTCTATATGTTTCTACTGTTATTCGGATCATCAATATGTTTTTTCTATTATTACTTATGCAATTTGTGTTACAAATATATCTTTATTTGCATCATCATTATAAACACTATCTATTTTGTCTTGGTTTTCGTAGATGATAAATATAATTATTGACGATAAAAAAAAACAATGTACTTACACTGACCGCCATCTTGTCATATTGAAAAGTATTTTAAATATTCAGAAATATAAAGTTATACTTATATATATATGTTTTTATTTTCAAACTTTACTTTTATTAGAGTCACTAACCTATTGTCAGCGATAAAAGCTTGTTATTTATTTTTTATTTAAATTAATAATTATTTATAATTTAGCTTTAACCCAGCTAGTGCCGTTTTCAACCCATATTTATTTTTCTTTCACTGTTTCATAATCCTATATTACCGCTTTATAGGTATTAGGAGTTTTCCATGTTAAACTATAAAAAGTTATAGTGCACCTTAGAAATCCTTTGTCTGATTATATCCTAAAAATAGTTTAAAATATATAATGTTAGACCTATCTCTCAGTAAATTAAAAATCTAAGGTATTATCTTAATTTTATTTTATAAAGTTCATATTTATATTTATTTTATCACTTTATACTATACCAACTTAATACAATATTTTTAGTGAACTAGATGAAATATATTTAGGTATAAATAATTAGTATTGCTTAGTTTATGGTAAATTTGTATTCACAAATTAAGATCTCTCCTCTCTACAGCTAATATATAAACTATTTCTTTCTAAATGAAATATTATATATAATGTGCATTGTGCCCCATTTTACTTACCCTAGTTATAACATTGATGTAACATCGAAAGGAAATAAAGTAAAATATAAATATTTTTATAAAAACCTGTAAATGTTATTTTGTCCAATATCAATTTAAGTTGAGGTATTTAAATAAATAATAAAAGTAATTTTAACTTTTTAAATTTTGGATTTTAATTTTTCATAGAATTCTGTTGAAGACATTGATGTACAAGATTCATTACATAAAATAGTTACTTCTGAGGATGATATTGATGATTACAACAATTTTGTTCCTGAACTTAAATTATCAATTTTTGAACATTTAGATGAATTTCAAATGGAAATAGAATCAAGGTATGGAAAATATAATAACACAGTATTACAGGCATTTCAATATTTGCAATATTCAGGTCAATATTTTAAGAAATTTTGACTCTGATTCTGAATCTGATTTCAGACTTTTTCCATCATATATAGCTTTTTAAATAATTAGCAATTAGTAATGTTGTGTTATACACCATTGTCTTGAGCATCAAATAATATTGAAGACAATTTTTTATTTCAACTCAAAAACTACTAAAAAAAATATTTACAAAATAAATTTTTTTTTTATTTTTGAGTTTTATGTATATTATTTCTCTTTATTGAATTTTTGCTGGTTTTTGCTTTTAGTAAAAAAACAAAAAATTGATATTTTTGAACTTCTCATAAAATTATCTATTATATATTATGGCAATTTTATAGTTATGAGATTAATCAAAAATAGTTACTGTGGAAAGTTGAGCGTTTTTATTCTAAAAAAAATGACTCTAAAGTAATGAGCCATTTTTTTAAATTATTATTATTATGTCATTTTATTTTTTTATAAATTAACTCAATTTTATTTACGTGTGAAGAATGTTTATTTCCTTTAACCAATGATAAGGAACTATTGTTGAGACTACTCTTGGTGTTTATCATTAATTTTCTACTAACATTATCAGATGTGTTCAAATGCCATCCGTGATGTTTGTTATATTATTTTATTTTGTCTAAATATTTTATTTTATTTTTGTTCATGTTTAACTTTTAATATTTTAAACTATTGTAACAGAAAACTGTTTATTATTTATTGTCTCGTGGAATAGAATATGGCAATTATTGGTAATTATAATAATAATATTATTTCATAATATTGATCAAAATAAATTTCTAATATTAGAAATAGTTGCCTAAGTGGCAAAGAGTATGTCTTTGCATTAGCTTAAGTGAGAAATTTTGGGAATTTGGAGAAATTTTATACTAAACGTGGCGGCAATGTGTGTGAAATTCTAATTGATTAGTTGTTGATCAGACTTTCCTAAAGGGCATTAATTAAGAAATATTTCTTTTAAGAGAAAATATTTACCTTATTTATAATAAAAATATTTGTTAATTCAATGCATGGCTAAGAAGCTTTTAACATGCCATTTCTTTTTTTTTACAACTCATATAAATAAAAGCTAAACTTTTTTCTAAAAATAGTAGTATTAAAAAGAAGATATTTTCTAAAAAATTTAATTTAATTTATGCATAAATTTGTAGACCTTTAATTATTATAAATTAAAGGAGTTATTTTTAGTAAAAGGTTAGTATTGATACTGAAAGTATAGTAGATATAATATATTTTTAGCTTCGATGCGAAGCTGAGAAGGTATTAATTTTACTATGATGTGTTTTTTTTATTTATTTTTTTTTAACTGTTACCACTTTTTCTCAGCTCTTTTTTAAAAGTTATAACATTTTTAACTTTAAAATGTTATAACTTTTAAAAAAAATGTATGGATCAATAAAATTTTTTCATAAGAAATAATATTTATATATCTCTTTCATTTGGCATACTTTTTTTATGTTAGACCATTTCCCTTAATACAGGAGGGTTTAAAACATAAAAATGCATATAGAAAGTTGAACTTTTTCAACTTAATTTTTGAAAAAGTTCCGGAAATACTGACACTTTTATATATATCTTAAATTAAAGCTTATGTAATATACTTTAATATTAAAAAAAAAAATTTCGGACTATATTTTATCTTCAGGGTGAAAATGGCCATCGAATGCTATTTTTGTGTGAAAATTTTTGGTTTTGTATTTTATTTTATTATAACGTGATTACACTGATTTTCATAAATATTATATCAATCTAATTGACATAGTATAAAAAGTTAAACATATTTAAGTTTTTTTGTTTCTTTGAAGTTGAGAAAAATATCTTTTAAATTTAAACTAGCTAAATTTCCATTTTTATTAAGTGACAAATTCGACGTACAGTTTCTGAGACGGTAACACTTGGGTCTTTCACGCCTGTGGCACTGAATTTTTTCTTAATTCTTTTTAAGTTAGAAAAAAATGTTTAACTCATTTGATTTTTATCTCATTGAATCTAATAACTTCAATAAATATCAAGGATCCCATTACTGTAGTCTCCTCTCGTGAGAAGAAATTCATATTAATATTATTTTACTATGTGGTTTTTTTTTTGTAGCTATCATTTATTTTCTCAGCTCTCACTTGACCTACTTTTTTGACAAATTTTTTTTTTTAATTAAACACTATCTACAGATTTGCATCGAAGCGTTTTTTATGATAGTGATTTTAATCACTGTCAGATATCATCTATACTGGACCCAACTATGCCATAATCCTACTGTGCTGGGTTTTTTAAAATTACTTTTTCATTAAAAACTTGTTGTATGATTATTAAATTTTCAATTAAAAACTGATATATCTTAAAATTGCATTAATCTAATTAAAACTTTTTTTTTATAGTAATGAAGATATTGCTAAACAAGCTCGTGAGCATATTCATTCAAATGAAATCATACTTACTGTTGGCAAGTCATCTGAAGTTGAAATGTTTTTAAAAGAAGCAGCTAAAGACCGTAGCTTTGAAGTATTTATTACTGAATGTGGTCCATTGAATAGTGTAATTAATAATTATTTATAATTTAGAGTGCATAAAGTTAAACTTTTAATGAATTTGACTGCAAAGCAAATTATGATCTTTATTATGTTAAAGTAATATTAAATAATCCTACAAATTTTATTTTAATATTATTAGGGCTATGAATTTAATGCATTGATGCATTTAATTGTATCTTTAACATGTCACTTTTAGGGGAAGCAATTAGCCTTGAATCTCTCGAGACATAAAATTCCAATTACTCTAATTCCTGATTGTGCCATGTTTGGGATTATGTCAAGAGTGAATAAAGTTATAATTGGTGTTGATTCTGTAATGGCAAATGGTGGACTCAGGACATTTAGTAGCTGTCATGCTGTATCATTAGCTGCTCATCACTATTCTGTACCTGTAATAACTACTAATATTTCAATTTTATCCCGACATAAATCATTTCTTTTTCTTAATTAGGTTTTAGTTTTAGCACCTTTATACAAATTAAGTACTCGTTATTTGTGTTCATACAATCAAGATGCATTTAATGAATTTGTATCTCCATCTGGAGTTATAAATTATTCTAATTCAGATGTTACAAAAGTTGATGTTTACAATCCAACCTATGATTATGTACCTCCTGAAAATGTGACGCTGTTCATTTTCAACAAGTAATTAAAATTACATAAGTAAATACATTTATTTATTAAGAAATTTCATTCCAATGATTTAGAATTTAAAGTATTAACTCAATAAAAAAAAATTTTTTTTTTGAGAATCTCAGAATATTAAACATTAGAAAAATAAACAAGCTAAAGTTTTGTCAATTCACTAAATTGTTTAAAAAAAATTAGTGTAATGTTAAATATTTTGAAGTGGAAGTTAACTTTATGATATAATTTTGGTTGGGTTCAGGAACATAACTAGAGGAAACAGCTGTCCTCCCTACAGGATGTGTAGTATTGTTTTAATTAATCTTATTTTACAAAAAAAATTGTAATGTTTTATTATAATCTACATGAATTTTCTCTATGTAGATTTACACTATATTCATACCATACTAGATTCATAATTATCTATTTGTTTTCATAATTTATTTTTATCTCTTCCCTTTAAAACTGTCTGTTTCAGTTAGTATATTATGTCATTAAAATTATTTTTTGGTTATTTTATATATCTCCATAAGATTGTTTCTTTAACCAATTTTCAGTAAGTTATTTTCTTGATCATTTTTTTGCTTACTGTGAATTAGTAATAAAATTTTGATTTTATATATAACACTTTATAAAATATAATCCAAAACTTAGTAAAATTGTTGCCAATAGGTTCCTTTCAAGCTTAATCAGTTTTATATTTATTAGAAAAAAACCTTGTGATCTTTTTTTTTTTTTAGTGGTGGCCAATCACCTTCATATGTTTATAGATTACTGTCAGAAATGTATCATTCAGATGATTATGATTTATCAGTTTAAAAATATTTAATATTTTACTCAATAATTCTATTGTATTGTTAAATAAATTTTTGAAAAGAAGCATGGAAGATTTTGTTGGCTCATATGAACTCATGTTTAAGTAATTAAAATATTATTCAAAATGTGCTTTATAAATTGTTTTTATGATAAGACTTTTCCTATATCTGTTATTTTATGGTTTTTTTAGTATGGAATTATATACAAATTTTACTCAACATTTTAAAAAATCATCTCAAATTTTAGTATATTTAATCTTGTATTAAAAAAATCTTCAAAAAAATGACTCGATTATAATATATGAAGAGTGAATGTGTCAAACGTTCTATGTGTCAAAAACATATTTGTTCAGAAAATACAAAAAACAATGGTAACATGGGCATGTCTCACATATCAAACACCATCTATGAATGCAATTTTGTACAAGTAAAAAATTTAATTGACATTTGAAACACATACAAGATTGTGGCCTTTGGCACATAGAACATAAATCAGAAATAAAACAATTTTTCACTTTTTTGGCACATAGAACGTTTGACACATTCACTCTTCATGTATACAGAACTCATTATCTTTGAAGTGTGTGACATGTACTTATACTTTCAAAAATGATCATCCCTACCTCATATTCTTTATAAACATTTAAATTTTAATGTAAATAAATTGTTTTATATTTATATTGTTGAAAGAAGATATATTGTGGATTGACAAAAGATTATAACACAATTAGTTACAATAAAATAATGAGTAATATTTTATTATAATTAACACATATTAATGTATAAATAAAACTGTTTTCTATCAATGTAAATACTTATGCTTATGAAACGTTCTACTGAATAATACGATTTACTTCAAATAGAGATATAGGTAACATAATACAATATACGATAAAATACATCGGCATAAAATTAACCTTAAGACCTTGTATGAATTTTTATCTAATAATTGTATAACACCTTTAGCATTATGTAGTAATAACATAAATAACGAATTATTGATTACTTTTTCAACATATATAATACCTAGTTTATATAAGCAAATACTTAATGGAGGAAGTTCTTATAAAATTAAAATAATTTTATACTTATAATACGCCTCGAATGATCATAGATTCTCTAAAGGATTAAGTGGTAATAGAAACATAATTAATATATTAAATTAAATATCACTAAATTATCTACAATCGTATGGCCGATTTTTGAAGTAAGTTATAAAAAGAAGGTATACAGAGTGATCGGCTAACTGTGTCTCGCGTAATATCTAAAAAAAATACAAGTGTTATTAACAGTTTTTTTTTAATCATTATGGATCTTTGTGTTTCACAAGAAAAATTTAATTTCTATCATCATCCCTTTTACTTAGAACTTGTATCAACTTCAGATTTTCAAATGGCAACCCATATTATTTTTATATATTTTTGTTCGCTATAAAAAAAAAAATGTTTAGCCAAATAAAAAATAACGAATTTTAAACAAGATACACTACTTTAAAATTTACAATATTTGAAGAAAGAATGCAGTAGTTTTTCCCACATGGTCATTGATACGATCACATTTGCATGTGCCCATATCTCTGTCTCCCATAACATCGTTGTACCGTTTAATAGACATATATATATATATATATATAATTAACACAGTGACATACAGCAATACTAACAGGAGTGCGGACTGCACACATAAACACTTTTTGCAATTCACGGCCAATGTGCCATAATAAGATATCCCTATCGACAGTTGACATTTTACCATCTTCGCGATCACTACTTTTGCCTGATAATTAACTTAACTTCGCTACCCCGTATATTATAGTGTGTGTGTGTGTCGCCGTCAGCTCCCTGTTGGATTAATCATCTCTAGGTGTCCAGCAGGTTGTATTATCCATTTAATATTTCAATTGCTTAATAAATATTTATTTATATCGTTGTTAACCTAAAGTGTTATATATATATATTGTAGTGCGACCCTTGGTAGTTCCTCTAAGGGAATATAAATTAAATAGGAAACTTCAGTACCTAAGGTAGATATAGCCTAGCCAGCTATCCCCCGTTGGTCCCTTAGAATACTGTCGACGGGCATTTAGGCTAAACCCCTAAATAGCGACGTAACAGTCATATTATTTTATGTAACAAAAAGAGCTACCAATAGAGAGCCGTGAAACGCTTAAAATAAAATATTTTTTTTTATTAAACTTAATCTAATGGTGTAAAAATAAAATAGGGTTGCCATTTGAAAATATGAAGTTGATACAAGTTTTAAACAAGGGATAATGGTAGAAATTTAAATTTTCTTGTGAAATACCTCATCAAAGATCCATAAAGATTATAACACTTATATTTTTTTTAGATATTACGTGAGACAGTTAGCTGATCACTTTGTATAAAGAAAACTTTATTTTAAAGAATACGATTTGTAAACGTACACACTACAATATAAATAGTATATAAGTTTTAATTTTCTAGAGTATTCATAATTTAAAAAAAAAAATTTAGTGGGGTATACACTGTATATCCGCATGTACCCCCCAATACACCATTGCGCATCAGTATGCCATGTTTCTTCTTCCATACATGTATAATAATGTTCTTAACTTCCAAAATACTGGTTTAAAAGTTATTATCGACCAATTATTTTCTTTATAGGATTATTTTTTAATATTTAAACTAATAAATTATGTATGTTTCCATTTAAAAGAATAAAGTTGATACCTTTATAGAGAATAAGGGATGGACTAAAAAACATTTAACCACTTGTAAATCAAGAAATATATACTACTTAAATAAGCCAAGATAAATTCTTCAAAATTAATATTTTGGAATAAATCTAGTGGTTAACGATAAATCAGTCATCTGCAGATATAACAATCCGCCAAAAATGTATATTATACATTCTTACATAATGTTATTAAGGAAGATGCGGTACGACGAGCTATCTACGATTATTACGAGGCATGGTCGGCAATTCTTTTATTCAATCCCGGATTAACACTATCGTATGCCCTAGTCACAAAATCTACAGTACCTATGCCCTAATAAGTTCCCGAGTTTGATGAACGAAAAAATCCGCTGAAAAAGAACCGCTATCTCTAGCAACGGTTAACTTGTCTAGTGTCCAGTATTAATATGGTTAAGAAACATTTTCTTTGGAAGAGGGAGTGATATATTTCAGTGCTAAGCTTTTACAAACAAAAATATTTATAATATAAAAATCAAAACTATAATTTTTTATATGATTACGATGGCAAAAATACATGATTTGGGTTTTGAATTGCTGCCACACCCACCATATCGTCCAGATCTGGCCCCAGCGATTATTACCTCAAGCGGATGCTTCGAAGAAAAAGATTCAACTCGAATGAAGAAGTCATCGCCGAAACCGAGTTGTATTTTAAGGCCAAGTATAATTCGTTCTATTCGAAAGGAATAGAAATGTTAGAACGTCGCTGGAATGAATGTATCACTCTAAAAAGAAACTATGTCGATGAATAAAGTCAAATTTTGCAAAAAAATGTGTTTTTATTTGTTAGTCCCGGGAACCGAACAACCTGTTACATAGGATTTTGTGGTATAAATCGCACATATTGTATGAACCGGTTGTATACATCGCTAAACATGGGGAGGGGACTTATACTATTGTTGATTATGTGAACTATAACTTGTAGAAGGAAATCTTGTCTATACTAAAATATATATATTTTTAGTGGACTTTAAATTAAATATAACTAAATTTAAAGTGGAATTATAACTATACACTATTTTATTGATTTTTGTTATGGGAAAATATTTATATTGCTTTTTTAAGTATTTGTTAGCTTGTTGAAGTAGTTGTAGTTTATCCTGAGTATATGTACGATATACATAATGACTTTCCCTTTTTAAATGTGAACGATCGTTCACCACTGGATGGGTCAAAGTATAAGAAATTAATTGTTACTCTAGATTATAAAAATAAATATGCTGTTCACTATCGTGCTATGCAACAAGCTGTCAAAAATGGTTTAATAGTAACTAAAATACACAGAACAATAAAATTTCATCAAAGTCGTTAGTTAACACCATATATAAAATTAAATATAGATTTACGGAAACGTGTAACGAACTAATTCGAACAAGGTTTAAGCAAATATATGAATAACTCTTTTTATGGTAATGTAAAAAAAACACTTCTTATTTTGTAAATTCAATTTTAAACTATAAATTTTATGCTTACAGGTAAAACATTGGAAAATATTCGTCATTATAAGAATATTCATTTGGTCAGTTGTTCAAAAAACCTTGTTTGTCTGGTCGCTAGACCATCATTTAAAAGCACAATGATTTTCATAAAAAATCTTGTAGCTGTGTATATGTACGAGGAAAAAATTCAGTTTTGCAAACCGATTTTTACTGGCCAAGTTGTATTGAACATTAGCAAATGAATCATGTACCAATTCCATTATGACACTATGATAAAGTACGGTCCAGACAAAATAAAATTGATCTATATGGACACAGATAGTTTAATAAATAAAATCGAAACAGAAAATTTCCAAGTTAATGTTCAAAATCATTTGTTATCTTACTTCGGTTCATCAAATTATAATAAAAGTTATCCATGTTAAAGTAACGCCAGAGCAAAACAACCGGCTACGTTCAGTGAAGCAGGTGGAAAATATATTGAAAAAATTGATGTGTTATCTCCAAAAGTATACGCGAACACAATAAAATCAGATAGTGATGTATACAATTTGTGCGATGTGAATTCACATTTCTCGAGAAACTGTAGAGACCGTCCGTGAGTGTCAAAGCGCGTATGATTTGAATGAAACATTTTTAAATTGTTTGAAAAATCAGTTATCAACAAACCGTAAAATATCAACCATAAGATCGAAAACTCACATACTATAGATCATAGAAATGGAAAAAAAGTTACTTTAACATATAAATATGTTACTATTTGGATTGTATTGTAATATATAATCGTAAATTAACAAACAGTATGCGGCAGTAGACAGTGGAAATTTTTCAAATGTTTCAAAATCGATTCTCAGGTCTATGGTTAAGGTTTCCACGTCATCATTTTGACGTGTACAATCAAGGCAAAGAAGAGGACCCTATTTTAAAAATTCTTTATTGAATAACGGTTTAGATTTTTTCTCTCATAATAATTTTGTTGAAAACATATAGTTTTAATAGAACAAAGTTATTAATTTTTTATTGAAATTTTCTTTAAAGATTTCATAAGGATACTCGAATGAATTTAAATGCATCTTTAGATTAACTAGAGAGTATGAATTAAATTTTTTCAACAATCTCTTGTTCGTCTTCAGTGAAACCAAATAGGCGTGATATTGGAATGTATCCCTAAAATTTAAAGTCCGTACTAGAATAATCGTTGTACGCTGAGTTAGGATCCTAAAAAGCGTTTTGAAGATTATTATATCGTTAAAAGTATAATAGCAATAACCTCTAATCCAAATTACTATTTGAACAACTACTCTGTTTATTTCATAAGATATTGTATTAATTAAGAAAGCTATGGTTCTATTATATGGTCACCATATGTGCAAAGTGATATAAATAAGATTGAGTCCATTCAACATCGTTTTTTAAACTTAATCTCTTATAAAATTAAAAATATTGAAATTAAACATAAAAAGTTACTTGAAAATCTAAAAATGCATCCTCTTTTATGTAGAAGAAATTGTCTAGATGTTATATGGATTTATAATCTACTAAATAATATAAATATAGTTTAAAAAAACTAAAAAGCACGCTTTTGAAGCACATCGAACTAAAAAGTTAAAAATAATTTTTATAATAAG